TCAAAAGAGTTAACAAAAAGTTAACTTTTTAGAGCGGTACGTGGACGGTAAAAATCGGTCAAGTTACCCGAAGGTTTAAYTTACTCGCGAATTAGCTTTTGTAATACTAAAATAAGACATTGAGCAGTAACAAAGCAGTAACTTAAAATATTCGTCCCGGTAAAAAATTGGCGAACATAGTTGAATTTAATTAAATTTTTAAAGCTCCATCAAGGGTAATGATATGGTGAATTCAATCGAAGTCCTAGATTACTCCGAGACGAATTTAGTGAAAGTCGTCCAAAATCAGTTGCTGTTCCAGAAACTATTGATACTGTGCTCGAACTAATATTGCAAGATCGTCATGTAACCTGTCAAGCCATATCGACAACTATAGGCATTAATACGACCAGCATACAATCAATAATGTACGRACTGTTTACGTTGAAGCCCACGCTGTTTGTCATTCGCTCAAAAAAAGCTCGTGTCGATAATATWATATGTTAACACTGCATCGAAATAMGATTATGAAATCGTGAAATATGCAGAATCGTTAATTTACGAGTATAAGCCTGAAAGTAAACAACAGTCGTCTGTATGGGTGTTTCAAAACACCAAAAATCTAACAAAAGCTGTTCGYCTACGAAGCACTTCCAAGAAAATGGTTGTTCAGCACCCTGAAAATGCCAGGCATTTTTATTAACTTCTAACCATAATTCCATGTTAAGCCTTCACCGCTTAAATGACTCACGTGCAAGCGACCCTAACTGTTCGGCATTCCGATTAGTGGTGACTACACCGCTAATATCTAAACGTCCATCAGTCCAGCTAATCCCCATACCACTCAGAGCCATAGTATCCGAGTGCATCAGACATTTTGCAACTATATGCACCCAGTCCTCTCCTGCCACACAACCACAGTTAGGTGCCTTTCATGCAAAAATGCTTTCAGAGGCCACACTCAGACAAAATCTGAAGTCCACCCACCTTCAATCATATAACTCCCCAACTCATACATTACGGCATAACAACTCTCGCAGTTTAACTGAACAATCCCTTCCATCATCCGACTGGATCGGGTAGACAGCTGACATCGTTAGATGTCCAGCTGGTCTTTCATTAAATGCGTGTTGCCGCAGTGGGGTGCATCTACGCATCAGCTGCTGTGTGGCCTTCCTGACAGACATGTGATTTGGCCCTACACTCAGCCACTCTGGATCGAAACCCAACCAGAAGCAACCAGTGACGGGGCTATCCGGTTGCACACGGAAGGAGAACCACATGATGTAGCACCTACCTGCCTCCATGGAAGCGGATATCATTTTGTCCGTACACCCCAGAACAACATTGTTGCTATCATCAAGGACCACCTTCTAGTARGTCCTGGAGGTTCAACCGGTGTAGCTCTCCTATGAATGGGAGATCTTCGCAGGGACCCCCTAGTCTAGAACCCGTGGAGCCAACTTCCGGTTGACAGTCACATTCAACCCCACCTTACAATGGTCGCCATGTTCTCCCTCTCCAAAACGAAGGGTGTGCGGATAACCGCCCTACCACATTGAGCGGGGCGATGATTTTTACGACCACCGAAGGACCTACTTTCCCCACGTCCTTTTTAATAATTTCTTTASAGGAAGCTGCAGGCCTTCTCTGACCACAGTCGATCAGTTCTCCACAGGCTTCGGCGTCACCGGTGTAATCGCTTCCAGCCCATTAGGAGTGCCTTGTATTTTGAGGCAAGCTCCAACAGCCCCTTCGCGCCCTCCACCTCAACATTTTCCACCGCAAAAACCAACGCACAAAACTCCCCATGAAYTATTCCGCTTGCTCTTGCCCTTACGCTCGTATCGCCATTGTTGATTGTCATAACTTGGAAGTCGTARATAATTTCGTCTMTCTTGGAACCAATATTAACACCAACAACAAAATCAACTTCGAAATCCAACGCAGGTTAATTCTTGTCAACAGGTGCTACTTTGGACTGACTATTCAACTAAGAAAGACCGAACTTTAAGTGTCACTCAATATTCCCGTTGTGCTATGTGGTGCAGAGGCATCGACGATGACAACATCTGATAAGTCGATGTTACGAGTTTTCAAGAAGTTCTGCGGAAGATTTGTGGTCATTTGTGCATGAGATGTACGAGTTATACAAATTATACGACGACACTATCATAAGTAGTTCAAGTTCAGTTCAGTTGAGTTAGAATTAAATCAGCAGTTTGTCAAAAAGGCGGGTTGCCAGAATAATAGCGGTAAAATGAACTGCCAAAATCAGGAGGTGCGTAAGTTCATTACGGAGTTAAGAAGAAGTAATGTGAATGTTTTTTAAAAGATATTTTTGTGTTTTATAGGATATATGCCGCAATCAAAAAAATGTGTAAGGGGGAGCACAGCGACGGTTTTTCAACTTCCCAAATCAGGAGAAGGATGAAGACAGATAAGAAATTGAATACTTATTTTTCTATTAATGAATATTTATTTGTTAATAAGTGGTTAAATAGTTGTATAAATAAATAAYAGTAGGCATGATGTAATTATTATAGTAATTTCTTTGTTTTAGGTTTTAAGTTAATTTTACTTAATTCTTATTAGGTTTACTATATATTATAAAATATTATTAGATAGAAGGCATGATGTAGATACTAGTCATCTTTTTGTTTCAGTCTTTAACTCGATTTAACTTATTTGTATTAGTTTTAATATACACATCCACAATTGGTGGAAGAAAACGCGCTTCAGTGTCACGATAGGAGCGATATAAATTTGCTCGCATCTGTGGCAGAAGAGGCTCAAATAGAAATGAGGGATAGTGTCTTTAAGCATGCGGATTAGTTTAATAACATCATTTGCAGATGAAAGCTTTGKAGACAGGGGGAGTCAAACRAATTTGTGTCTGACAKSTGTAACTAGTAAAGAACACAAACTGGTTGGGGCGAATAGGAAGTTGAAGGCTAGATTAGAAGAAAAAGATGGAAAGATTAATTATTTTCAGTACCAGTTGTCAGACCTTTCGCTAAAATATGCAAATTAAAAAAAAACAATTAAAGGACACGGAAGAGGGGTTCAATTGTACTATGCATTTATGTAGCCAGCTTCCCCACAGATTAGAGCCATAGTAGAAAATAGTTTAAAAAATAAAGGTCGTAGATACGACAGCTATTTCAAAACCTTAGCTTTAAGTGTATACTTTCTGTCTCCCTTAGCTTATAGACACATAAAGTGTCTCCTTAGATTTCCCGAAGAGAACTCATGTTCGTTTCAGAATGGCCCCGTGACCCAGGTTGTACTCTCAAGTGTTTAGAGTTGAAAAGCCAACAAAAGTATGCGTCCATTTTATGTGATGAAATGGCTCTGAAGAGTCATATGCAATACTTGCCAAGGTATGATAAAACTATAGAAAGTTGTTGAGTAGTTGATCAGGGGTCGAATTTTCTCAATTTAGCTCGAGTGTTAGGAGTTTCTGGTAATGGTTAATGGCAAGGAAGTATACTTTTTCAATGATTGTCCCCATCTTATAAAGAATGTTAGGAATTGTTTAGAAAACTTTAAAAATAGAGTTAGTTTTAAACCGCGCCTAGTTAGCTAGTCCGATATTGTAGATTTTTACAAAAGGACCAAGCTTGCCGATGCGCACCTTTTTCCCAACAATTTTCAGAAAATTAGTGTTAAACTATCTACCCAAGTTTTCAGCGACACTGTCGCTTCCGGAATGCTCGCAGTTTATAGTGTAGGGCGTTTGAATTCCCCATCTCCTACTTTTTGCAATACCGCGGAATATATTTTGCTAATAAATAAGTTATTTGACATATTTAACAGTCGGAATTTYGATGCAATTTTACCGTGTAAAAAAGTGAGTGTGCTTATGACCACACGACTGAAGTGAAACTTCTTTTGCTCTATCTATATGTATATATATGTATGGGTGTGTGCAATATATGCATGTATGCATATATACATATATTAATTTCCTACAAATATTTAAATTTATTTTATGTTTTCATCAGTAAATTAATATTTTTGCATAGATCTTTTATTTTTTTTTTCATTGTTTTATTCGTTATTTTCATTATTGGGTACATCAATAATTACTGTGGTTGATTGTAAAACCGAGACAATAGGCTTATGATACGAGAAATACGATACATATATTTTAGAAATAAAATTAGACAGAAATCTAGAAAAAACTGCATCGATTGTTGTTCCATGTCTTGTAGTTGGCTCATTACGGTCAATATTCATTTGTAATTCTAATTTATCTCGTAGAAAGTTTATSAAGAGTTGTCCATCTTCGGATGCGAAATTGATATTGAAATCTCCTGCTAAGATTATTGGCAACGTATGATAGTTTTCTCCTAGTTCTTCAGAACCTACTCGACCATAAATCATACGTCTTCTGTATATAAACTTTATGATATTATTAACTGTGTTATTGGGCGAAATGTAAACAACTACCATTATGATGTTTTTTCCATCGTCCAAAACACAGTGAGCAGCACATATATCACCAATTGATGACTGACCAATATCAACTTCACGAATATGTCGTAATAGAATGTCCATGTTCGAAGTTACTATATTCGAGGTWTCATTCGATTTSTGATAAATTGCCACTCCTGCTGATCTAACATTTTTACGCTTAAATTTCGCAATACAATCAAAATTCGGGATGTCAATGTTTCATCGTCATTTGATCAGGTTTCTGATAAAAACAGGATATTGCTTGAATCAATGGCGGGATCGCTCAAGTCCGATACGTGTTTTCTGAGACTTTGGCAATTAAAAGTAACAATGGACAACTTTTTTCTGTCATTCATAAAATCGAGAATCGTTCTACCTATTGTTGACAATGTGTTCAACGATAATCGGCGAAATTCATCTTGTAAAGATATGATCGATGTATCATTTTTTCGCCCATGATAAAATCTATTATCATTGTCTTTTGGTACTATGTAGAGTCCGTCAATACTGGTAACTCGTGATAG